ACTGCATTCCAATTTTATTTCTAGGGATCTGTCAAATAACGATATCCAACGTCTGCCGTCAGATGTTTTTAACAATGTTACTCAGCTAAAAAAGCTGTAAGTGGTAGCCATTTGATTTCTAAAAAGTCTCAACACAAATTCAAACAAAACAAAGTTCCTCCTCCTGTCATCTCTCATTATGTCATCTGTAAATTTGAATTTTGCTCCTGAATTCTTCCTACAGCTTTTTGTCCAATAACAAGCTTCGGCAATTGCCAAGTTTCAACAATCTTACTCAACTGACAACATTGTAAGTAGCGTTTGTGATAACCAATCTAGTCAATCAGTACCAGCGACTGAATCAGTAGTCTCACAGCTGGCAATGAAGCATTATCATTTGCCTCAAGATGTAGTCAATTCTGATTTGGATCGCAGCCTTTAATTTCGACTGCATATCGCCTCTCTTATTCAGGCCCTGATGTCGACAGATAAACTTATGTCCCATATTTTAGTTGCAAAAGTCTATTTGAAGACACGCATTTCAGGGGGAAGGCACATCAGACGAACCATTTTGATGGATAGGTAGTCAAATGATACTTAAAATTCGCCTAATGAAAGTAACTGTACTTAAGATCCTTTAAAGTAAAGCTAGTTCATTCTGTCAATTGCGTAGATACATGAGTAACAACAGCCTCTCAACTCTGGCACATGATCAGTTCCAGGGATTGTCTAATCTAACACACTTGTGAGTACATACATTGATTTTCTTACCTCTAGTTTAACACTACTTATCTTCGTATCCTGTTTCAGCTATCGATAAATATTTTTGATATAATGAGTCGTAGCCTCAATTTTTTTCAATACATTTCTTCTTTTTTTCAATCTCGAATATCTTTGAGGGAAATCCAAACAGAGAACCAATGAAATAGGCGATAAACCTATTTTAAGTTTAAGTACAATGATTTTTTTTATTCCAATACGTTAATGATGATCAATGTCTGTTGTTTAAGAGCTGCTTCTGACAACAAAATCCAGTATCTGCCACCAAGAGTTTTTGAAGGCGCCAAAAACTTGAAGTCTATGTAAGTAATTGACGTTTTTATTTTGTTGCTCTAAATACCAGCATCTACGTCTTGTGCAACTACAGATGAAAATCCTCAAAGACAAGGCCTTCTTAAGCAGTTTAACCATTATTTTACTTGAGAAAAATATTCAGGTGAAACGAGAATATCTCTAATATTGTGAGGGCACGTGCCACTACTGCTAAAACCAAAATTCCCCAGCACGCACGATGCGAATGGGAGTAACACACCGCGTGATATAAG